TTGGTTCTTATTTTTTCCCCACTCCCCTGCCCTCCCTTCACCCCCTTATGTGCCTTATTCTTTAAACATATTCTTTCACTCAAGACAGAAGAAGAGGGGTTGGGGATGTAGCTAGCAGTAGAGCACTTACCTAGTATGCCCAAGGCCCTGGGTTCAGTCCTAAGCATTTGGGGATATGAATTTCAGTGATAAACATTTAAGTACCCTTAAGTATAGAATAAAGTGCCAGTAAAACTTGATTTTGAGATATCTCTTAATTCTCAGAACTGCAGCTAACTGGCTGAGTTGAGACTTGGATACAAGAAAAAGAAATGACATAAAAGAATTCAGACCACTTCTCTGAACTGAGACAGCACAACTATTAATAGTTATAGTCAAATGCAGTATTGTGAGTCTCTAGAGATATATTTATTATTGTGTAGAAAGAAAATGACCATTAGATTCACCAAATAGAAGATAGAAAGCTGCTGTGACTAATACATCTGCTCTACTCAGGTTGTTAAGGTATTTGGTAGCAGCGCAGTGGGACCATTCAAGAATGATTTAAATGGCTCTGTGTTCTGTAGGTTAAACTGGACTAATTCAGAAAAGTCAGAGCTACATGAAAAGTCACACCAAAGTTATACCCCACATATCCTAGGCATCTTCAACGGGGCCACTGCTGGTGTTGGGGAATTGAAATCTGACAGCATTCTATTAAACTGTGGAAGAGGTATTGATTTGGCAAATGACAGTAATTATCTTGTGCTAGACCCTTCAGAGAGTCCTTGGTCTCTGGTCTCAAGGAGTGCACCTTCTACTAGGGCCAAACACAATTATACTACAAGACAATTCTATATTACAGCAATACCCATGAAGTGCACAGTAAGTGCATAAACTGCTTTTAAGTTTTCACAGAGAAACATCTGACCTGAGCCTTGCCTAAATGGAAATTTACAAGTAGAGACGCAGGAAATGATTCTTTACACAATGAAAGCAGCACATGTAAATGCAGTCGGCTTGAGAGATAAAATGGCTTCTGTTAACTACAAGGTACTTTGGATTGTTAGTGCAAAAAAACAAGAGCGTAAAAGTGTCCTGTTTTTGGATTGGGATCTCAGAATGCCAAATAGCAACCTTTACCTTGGCTACATTTAAGTGGGAAAAAACCCTGTTTTCACAAAAGAGGAATTTTGGGGTGGGGGGTACTGGGATTGAACTCAGGACCTTGCACTTGCCAGATAGGCACTGTGATGATGAGCTACATTCTTGGCCCAAAAGGGGATTTTTGATTGAAAAGAGGGCCTAAGCACTGGCATAGAGGCTAGCTTGATAGCCTTTGTTTACTTGTCTGCTCCTTCTTCTTATTCTATACATATAAATTGTATGATTTGGCCAGGGATTTAGCTTAGTGGTTCTGCCGCCTTGCCTTGCAAGCTCAAGAACCCAAGTTTGATCCCCGGTACCAAAAAAAAAAAAAAAAAAAAAATGGTATGACTGGCTTAAACCAAACAGCATAAAATCACTGGAATAAGTGAAGTCTCCATATGAAATACATACAGTTTACTTGGTGAATTTAACAAGGATTTTATCCCATCTTTTGCCTAAAAGGGTGGGAGAAGTGTCTAGTTGTTCTTCCTGATCCAAACAATTCATGGTTTGATGTTTCTAATAGCTTGTGCTCAGGAACATTATATAACCATATCTTGTGTTCATTAGGAAGGAAAGAATGTTAGAAATAAAATATTCTAGTCTTTTAAACTTCTAGTGCTATATTTCATTCCTTGTGTTCTAAAATTACCCCTTTCTGAACCTCTGTTCATGAAGCTGCATCTTTTATGCTATCCTATTTAGCACAATCATGAATTTTTTTTTTTTTCTCAGTAGTGGGGAATTAAACTGTGGCCCTCACAATGAGCTACATCCCCAGCCCTTTTACTTATTTGTTGATTGTTTATTGTTATTTTGAGACAGGATCTCACTGGGTAATTCAGGCTGGTCTTTAACTCACTATGTAGCCCAGGCTGGCAGTGTACTTGCTGTGATCTTCCAGCCTCAGCCTCCCAAGTGCTGGGATTACAAGCATGCACTACCATACCTGGCTCTTTTTATTTTTTGAGACAGAGTCTTGCAAAGTTGCTAAATTGCCCAGGCTCGGGTCAAACTAGAGATCCTCCCAGAGTGTTTAGATTACAGGTGTGTGCCACCAAGGGCACTATGAATAAATTTATTTCTGTTTCACAATCTGAATTGAGTTCATCTTAATTTTCATGCTAAACTCCAACAACATTTCAAATTACAAAGACCCATATTAGGATGTACAGTTTGACTTAACATTCAGCCTCTGGTTGGGGAGCTTGAACAGAAAGAAAATTTATGAATGTATTCTTTTGACCCTGTGTTAAGTCTCTTATTTTGCAACCAGTGATGTATATATTAGTTATATCATATGTGCCATTTTTTTCATTTTCTCCATTTGGACTATATTCTGAAATAGTTCTCTGACAAGCTTTCATAGGGCCGAAGGATTGTTTTATTGTGTTATTTTACAGTACTGGAGATTGAACCAAGGGCCACTCTTGCTGAGCTACATCTTAAGCCCTTCTTACTCTTTTTTTTGGTGGAGGGTGCAGGGTCTTGCTCTGTAGTTCAGGCTGGCCATGAACTCATTATATAATAGCCCAGGTTGGCTTTGAACTCTGAGGTACTTTGTACCTCAGCCTCCCAGTGCTGGGGTCACAGGCAGCATTACCATGCCTGATACTCTTTATTTTTTGAAAAAAGGTCTCACTTAATTGCCCAGACTAGTCTTAACTTGCAGTCTTTCTGCTTTACCCTCACAAATAACTGCGATTAAAGGCATGCCCTACCACACCTGACTAGAATTGAATTTTTGTAAGCAAATTAAGTTTTGGGCATGACAGTAATATTGTAGGAAGGAAATTAAACAGTAAATGGATAAATACAGGTTGCATTTAAGTACTCAGTTTGCATTTAGTTAAGAGCTTTTGTCAGTATTTAACATAAAGGATATGGAACAGTACTAGGAATTTCAGTCTCTTGTGACTTTAATGTGTGCAAGTCAGAAGTGTCTCAAACTCCAATATTTGAGATTTCTCACATCTAAAAGTATAAAAGCCTTTATTAAACCATGTAATTTGGGCTATTTGGAAAATACAGTTATATCATGTCCTTATTGGTTTCTCATAGGAAGGTTATTTGAGTCTAGGATAAATTTAGGGCAACATCTCATATCATGTCCACTAGTATGCCCTTCTCAGGCCTCTGACATTTTTAGCCATTCTAACATTTAACTTTTCTATTGACACTGTAGCCATCTTCATAATTATATAATTTATCTTTTATAAATTAATATAAATCAAGCCACGATCATGAGTCTGTTTATGTACAACAGCAGGATTTAATGTTTATTGTGTATGATACACTGAAAAGAATATTAGGTACAGTACTGAGAGAAGAAACATACTGCATTCAAATAGTGATTTTTTGGAAGAAAACATTTGGGAAATTATTTGTGGGGTTTAGTTATAATTTTCCAGGGATTTGTCTTTATTTTCTCTGTGTTCCAGGTCTTGCCTGAAATTAGAAGCCCCTTTCTTCCCCTTCCTTTCTGGTGCTGTCAGTGGTGGTGATCACCTCTGAGGAAGAAAAACCCACTTCCCACTGACCATGAAGAACACTCAGCATCTCTTCTTGATTGTGACAAGGGCAGTTTTTGGATGGATCATGAAATGCTTCTAAAGTAGCCAAGAGTTAACTCTCCTAACCTTTTTAATTTATAAGCATGTTACCACCAAAGTAACCTACCCAGTGGAATCAACTACATGGTGATGAAATCACATTATTTACTCACTTAACTTATGGAAATTCAGCTGTGCCCTCCCCCACCAAAAGAAGTGGAGAGAAAGTATATGAATGAGAAAGAAAAATAACAATTTTGTTTTCAGTATGGGGATTCAAACCCAGGGCCTAGATGCATACTAGGCAAGCACTATACTAGTGAGCTACATCCCCAGCTGTTTTTATTTTGTTTTGAGAAAAGACTTACCTAGGTTGGCCTCAAATTTGGAATCCTCCTGCCTCAGCCTCTCAAGTAGCTGTGATTACAGGCATGCACCACCATATGCAGTAAAAAATAGTAATTTAAATAGTACCTGTTCAGCAAGTCCTGGAAATGGAATAAATCATAGCTGAAATAATTAGTTCAGATTTTTAAAGGTTTTCCAGTTACTGACATAGCATGTTCAGATAGGCAAGTAGGTGGGAAAGTTTCTTTAATGTTTACAGGGGTTATTGAAAGTTGTTGAGAAACTACAATTAAGAATTAGAACTAGCCAGGCACTGTAGCATGTGCCAGTGGTCCCAGCTACTTGGATAGCTGAGGCAGGAGGATTGCTTGAGTCCAACATAGCAAGACCCCATCTTTAACAAAAGAATTAGAGGAACTGACATAATCCTGTTAAGAGTGAAACGATAAGAGCCAATTGAAATTTTTGTAAATTTACTAAGTGTTCAAAATAGTAAAATGCCTATTTGGTTAAATTTCTGAGTGTTCTTTGTGGATTTTCAGTGGTTATTTTTACCATACATTGTTTCCTCTTTATATCCAGTCCCTTAAGTAAGATACTACCTCATCAACTAACAATTGCTCTGATTTATTTGATAATGTAAATTTAATAAGATAATGGGTAATTTCATTAATAAACTGGTTCTTGGTTGATAATTCCTTTTTTTTTTTAATGTGGGCACAAACTTCCTTCTCATAGAGTCTGAATTTGAAATCTAGATTCTATAATAAAATGACTATTTCTTGACCATTTGTGCCATCCCACACTATGGTACTTTATTGCTAGTCTTTTCCACCTATATCCACTGCTTAGCTACTTTGAAATTTCATAACTACTAAATAAAAAACCATAGTTGCCTACATTGCTTTTCAAAAAAGGTATTGTTTTGGTTGTGCTTAGCATGTGAAGTACATTGTTTCTGTAATCACACAGGTGAACATGATTAAAGATGATGGGACAGTTATTCATTTCAACAATCCCAAAGTCCAAGCTTCCCTCTCTGCTAACACCTTTGCAATTACTGGTCACGCAGAAGCCAAACCAATCACAGAAATGCTTCCTGGAATATTAAGTCAGCTTGGTGCTGACAGCTTAACAAGTCTTAGAAAATTAGCTGAACAGTTTCCACGACAAGGTAGGTATTTTAGTTTGTTGGTACATCTTCCCCTGCTGTCCACTTACTTCATAAAGGAACTTAATGATTTAAAAGATGTCCGTCCCATCTTACTTAAACTGACAAGATTTGTCTCAGTACAGACTTTCCTTTGTATAATGCCACTTGAATGCTTCATAAAATTTTGAGCTTGTCTTTTAATAACTAATGTAGTATGGCATATAAAATATTCAGATACAGTATTTTTGTACTATAGATATAGTAACCATAAATTCTCAATTTCCAAGATAGTCATGATTTGTTATCACCCCTAACAAACAGCCTTGTATTTTAGTGTACTGTACTTACTGCATAGCTAGATATTTTTGTTGGAGAACATAGCCACTGTAACTTATTTTACTGTATTTTCATTCAGAACCATCTGAATTATTCCATTTTGCGTATAAATTTTACCTATACTACATATTGAAATCACCTGCTGTACTGAGTATATTTAGTTGTTAAAGTTTTATTAATTTTATTGTTAAGCAAAAAACTATGAATGGATTTTAAATTGATAGTATTTAGCTTTTTCTAAGCAACTATGTGAGATTTAGACAGGAAAAAAGAATACTGTAAATATGTGTGTGTTCTGTAAAGGTCTTTATTCTTAATGACTAATAGTAAACTTTCTGTAGTGTTGGATAGCAAAGCACCAAAACCAGAAGACATTGATGAAGAAGATGATGATGTTCCGGGTAAGTGACATTTCTTTTTTTTTTTTTTTTTTTTTTTTTTTTTACCAGAGAGAAGATATTTCTTTAGTCTTAAGACCTACCTTCCTTCCTTCCTTTTTTTTTTTGTACCAGGGATAGAACTGGGGTCCTTGAGCTTGCAAGACAGGTGGTAGAACCACTGAGCTAAATCCCTGGCCCACTCTTTAAGATTTTTAGCATGCTATTTATCTCATTTCACAAATTGAATAGGTGACTTTCAGGATTTTGTTGACTGAGTTCTGAATTTAAATTGATTTACAATGACATGGATGAGGAAAAGAATAAAAGTTCCCTGGGCCAGGGATTTAGCTCAGTGGTTCCACCACCTTCCTCGCAAGCACAAGGACCCGGGTTCAAAGCCCAGTACCAAAAAAAAAAAAAAAGTTCCCTCATTAGAAAAAAATAAATAAAAATGAAAAAAAGTTCCCTCATTAAAACGTAGAATCACATTTTCATACAAAGCTCTGTTGCCTACATTTATTATATTGAAATTACTGTGATTATAAGTTTGCATAGTTATATAACATTTCTATGGAAATTATAATTGACATAAGAAAATGCCTTTCACCTTAGTAGTTTGCATAGACCAAAAAAAAAAAAAAAAAAAAGACGTGCAAAAACAAAACAGAAAGCCAAAAAGGAAACATCACCCACAATTTTAAAAGCCTCATCTCCTAGAATAAACCTCTGAGAATTACTGCGACCACTTGGATGACTGTAGCAACAATTTTGTCTTTATTGGGATTTGAAGTTCAGTATTCCATTTACTGTTTTCCTTTTTTTTTTTAAACTCATTTGCTTTTTTTGTTTTTTTCCAGATCTGGTAGAAAATTTTGATGAAGCATCAAAGAATGAAGCTAACTAAAATCGTTCTGGTTTTTGGAAGCTGGCATGGACTAGATTTAACAAATCAGCTATGTGGTTCCAAAGTTTTACCGACACAGAGAACATCATCTGTTACTAGTTCAGTAATATAAATATTTTGTATATTAATAATGCTGTTTGTTCAGCATCTTTTGGTCATTTGATTTTGCATTTTGCACTTCCTACCAGGATCTCTTCTTTTGGTCAAAATATGAAGTATTGGTACAGTTTGAGGGTGTTTGGGGTTTTGATTACTGGATTTTTGTTTTGTTTTGGGGGGTAATTTTGGTGTATGTATGTATATGTATGCGTGTGGGTGTGTGTATTCACAGTGGAGAACAAATTGGAATACAGTTCTATTTATCCTCTTCCTCCAGTAGAAATAAAAAAAACTTTACATTTGCTACTTTTTTCCCCACAGTAATACATAGCATTAATGAAAAACGACTTTCTTTGATTTCAAATCTAAAGAGATATTTTACTGTTGGGAGGTTTGGTTTTAATATATTTGGTTAACTGCCATATTTTTCATATATTTCTCTGGGTCTAAGCTATCTTAAGGGACAAAACAAACAAAAAAGGATATCTTCAGGAACGGGGTCTGGTGGCACATGCTTGCTTATAATCCCAGCACTTGGGAAGCCGAGGCAGGAAGAGTACCCCCAGTTTGAGGCCGTCTTGGACTGCATAATGAGTTCAAGGCCCATATGAACAACACAACAAGAACTAGTCTCAGAAAAGCAAAAAAAAATTTAAAAGATGTCTTAAGATATTTTACCACCAGTCTCATGCTGGAATAATGGTCACTTATCTTTGGTGTAATTACCTTAGATTCACTTACCTGGCCATATCCAGAAGAATTTCTTTTAGTGTATTTCTTCCCTTTTTTTCCTTTTTTCTTTTTCATTTTCCTTTACAGTGTTGGGGATCAAGCCAAGGGCCTCACACATTTAGGCAAGTGTTCTGCCACTGACCTATATCCCCAGCTCCACCATCTTTCTTCCTGAATGCTTTCATACCCTGTCCTTTTGGTCTTTAACTTACCTTGTAAGCTTTTGGTAATACTGTTCCTTATCTTCTATCTAGTTTGAGAAAGATGTTCTCCATGGTGTCAAGGGACCTCTCTTTAAGATTTTGTTCCATCATCTTGAACAACAAACAATTCATCTTCAATTTTTTATTTCTGCTCGCTTTTACAGTTTGGTAGATTTCAAACTGGAATAGCTAGCATGTGCTTGCTAATAATTTTATGCCAGCCTTACCCTGTGTCCTAGCTGTTCTAAATAGCAGGTGCAAGAATGTCTCTTTTTCTGCAAGGTTAAAGCTGGGAATGTCCTTTTGATTGGGGAGAAAATAGGCCATAGGCTCATCCTCCAGCACAAATGGGCATTCTGTGAAATGATAACTGGCCCTAGAAGGATCATTTCACTTCTACCTTTGGCCTTGAACCTACCTCTGGGTTGGATTTTTATTATGTCGCTGCTCACAACAACCTCCTGCATGCTTAGAATAATGCTTTGCAGGGAGCACTGGTAAAATACAGTATTTATTTTTTCACCTCCTTTCAGAGAACTTGGAGGTAAACTGCATTCATTCACTCGTTTCCCTCTTGCTGTTTGATAAAAGCTTGGATTTTGCATATCAGCATTTGTTATAGTCAATATTTTAGGAAAAGATTTAGAAAAATCTGTCATTACCTGGCCCATCACCAAACTAGTTTAATCTTGCAGCATATCAACTTTTTGTTTTTAAGGTAGTTATCTTTATTTGATATCTAAAGTGAAAGACCAACAATTTAGCCAGGTGTGGTGGCACATGCCTGGAATCCCAGCACTCTGGGAAGCTGAGGCAGGAGAATCGCCATGAGGCCAACCTGGGCTACATAGTGAGTTCAAGGACAGCTTGAACTACATAGTGAAACCCTATCTCACGAAAAAAATTTTTTTGAGAGATCTGTAGACATGAAGGCAAAACTTGTGTTTTTTCATCCCAACACTTCAATTTATTTTATAAATCTGATTTCTCTGTTTTGTTTTATATAGTATATGGACTTAAAATAACATTAACAAAATAACTAAAAAGATGAATATATTTCTTCATGTGCTTCTCTTAACTGTTGTCAGTATCTTTTGTATTTCTCCTGTTTCCCACACTCAAGTACTTTAGTGCTGAAATAATGTGTCATTCATTGTTAGATCAGTACTTGTACATAGTCTAAACGTAATCCAGAATTCTGTTCCTCTGAGTACCCTGAATGAGGCACATTGTAGAGGAAAGAGAATTGGGACCACTTCAAATGATTAAGGACAGGAGAGAGAGAGAGAGAGAACAGAGAACAACTTAGCTAAGGTGACTTGTGTTCTGGTACAGACTGTCGTGACCTTGGGCAAGTCACTGCACTATTGTGCCATTCATCATTTAAATGAGGTTTCTAAATCTAAAGTTTCTTCTGCTATTGTAGTTTTTTGAATCTCATCTTAAAAATTCTCTAGGTAGGGATTTCATCACATATCACAGTTGTCTTTATCACTATTCACAAAACTATGTACCTGTTTCTTCTTTTTTCACATTGAACACAGTCTAGATACTCATCCAGATAATATCTATCGGTATTCCCTTTTATTCTGTTGATAGCAACTCTTAATGGCTAGCCTTTTGTGTATAAAATGAGCCAGTATTTTTTGTTTTATGTTTTTCATACCTTCCCCTTTTCTAGACAAAGCATATTCGAATCTTCAACCCAAAGAAATATTCCTGTGTTTAGAAATATTCCTGCTAAATGTGTGCTTTTTACTAAGCTTAGGTGGTTTTTTTTGTTGTTTTTTTGCCAACATAACTATAGCAGCATTTTCTAAGGAAGCTGACCTTAAATTTTGGGGATAATTCAAGCAATGTCAACAGAAAATTGATGCATGGTCTTAATTTTTATGGTCAGGTTTTTGTTTTGTTTTTTTTTTTTTGTAAATCTTATGTTTTAGAGAAGCACAAAATAAATGGTTGGGCCCTTACATTTATTTTTTCCTGTTAAGCAATGGTTTAAGAATACATAAATTACATCAATTTGTTGTTAAATAACTAGTAGGTATAAGATTCCATTAAATTCATTTTTAAAAGTCTATCAGGTTCTTGTGAAAAACCCTTATCTGGGATGTGTTTGATTTGTTTTTCACTTTAATGTTTAGCCCTAAATATGTTATATACCTGTAAGTAAGACACCATGATAAGCAAGTTTGACAGTCAGGAAACCACAGGTTTTGAGGTAAAGATGAACTTCTATACCTGCTCACAACTCCAAGAGCCATCATTTATATTTGCTGTGTTCAGAGGGTGCCATTTTTGTAGACTACAGTGTGACTGATGGCCCTGTTAATAGGACCTCTGAATCTCAGTTTCCTCTAAACTGATGCCTAAGAGTCAAGGTTCCTTGAAATCTTCTAAATATTAAGGTATAGATGGAATTGTTGTCTCCTAAGCTGTAACGGGAAGTTATTTACTGAAGCTCATGACACAGGCACAGCAAGGCTTCAGTCTACACTGCTATCCCCAGCTCACCCTGTATTGTGATGCCACCTGAAGTTTTCCTAGATTATTATAGCCTTATTAGCCCTATTTATGATTTGGTCCCTCTTATCCCCTAAATAGAAGACAAACTATCTGTCAACTATGAGCATGTCATAGCCTTGTTATTTATTTCCAACATATTCTGTTGCTAAACAACAGCGTTTATGCTTCCCCATCTAGCACCTTAACAGATGTCATGTCATGCAATGCTATCTTATAGTTGGGTATGTGGTGAACACCTGCATTCTGGAGGCTAAGGAGGATCTTGAGTTCGAAGCCAGCCTAGGCTTACATACTGAGTTCAAAACTGAGTTTGGACTGTATAGGGAGACCCTGTCTCAAATACACAAAAAAATTGTCTCATTTCTCAGTCCAGTGAGAGCAGATACTATTCTCCCAATTTTTAAAGAGGAGCAAAAATGTCTTAAGGAAATTGTCAAAGGTCAAACAACTAATTTGTAGGAGAACCAGGATTCTAATCTATCAAATTCTATGTTCTAAACATCACCCTACATTACACAACAATTCTTTTTCTTGTAGTGCTGAGGATTGAACCCAGGGCCTCATATGCACTGGACAAGAGCTCTACCACTGACCTACAACCCCAACCCAACAAATATTTATTAAAATGAAAATTATGTGTACATAGCCTATAGTTAGATATAATGATTAAATTCAAATTAAATCACCCAGAATAGCTTGGGAGTCAAACCTGTCTTTTTTTGGTGGTTTTTTTTTTTTTTTTTTTTTTTTTTTTTTTTTTTGGTACCGGGGATGGTACTCAGGATCTTCCACTTTTCAGGCAGGCAGCGGAACCACACCTGTCTTAAAGACTGTTCAGGATATAAGTTTGAGGATTTTTAAAAATCATTTATTTATTTATTTTTGGTACCAGGGATCAAACTCAGGACCTTGTGGCTACAAGGCAGGCAGTGGAGCCACTGAGCTAAATCCCCGGGCCAAGGATTTTATTCTTTAATGAAGTAAGATTTGTAATTCAAGAGCTTTCTTTTTTAAAGATAATTGGATATTTTAGCTAGGTATGGTGACACACTCCTATAATCTCGGCACTCAGGCTGATGCAAGAGGATCACAAGAGTTTAAGGCCAACCTGGGCTATATAGTCTACAAAAAAAAATTTTTTTTTAATTGTGTATTTTTTATACCTGAGACAGAATTTTACCCCTGTGCTGGAGATTGGATCCAGTACCTCATAGTTGCCAGTTATGCACTGTTATTAAGACAGTACATACTGTCTTTTATGATATTTGGGCAAAAATCTCTGGTTTACATGTTTTTATATCCTTGATACTGATAATTCTTAAAATTTTGCTGCCTTTTAGGCATACCTTGTCAGAATTCCATAACTGGTAACAAGGTAGTGAATTTATTCTGCAGCCAAACTTTTTCTGTGTTTAAAAATCAAACTACTTCAAAAAAGTTAGAACTTGGCATAGTGGCACATGCACGGTCAGCCTGGGCAACTTAGACCCTGTCTTAAAATACAAAAGTTGGGGATGTAGCTCAAGAGCAGAATGCTTGCCTACCCTGTGTGAGGCCCTGGGTTCAATCCCCAGCACCACACAAAAGAAAACAATATTAGAAGTCAAGAATTCAGTCATGTTGCAAATTATAATACACTAAAATCAGGTGTACTTCTCTATACTGAATAATCCAAAATGGAAATTAAGGAAAATTCTATAAAAGCATAAAAACATATATTACTTAAAAATAAGCTTAACAAGGCAGAAAGACTGTACAGTAAAACACTGCTGAGAGAAATAAGACAAATCTTGTGTTCATGAATTGGAAAATTTAATAATATTAACATATCAGTACTAACCAAGATGACTTTTTTCCAAAAGTAGAAAAAGTATCAAATTCACAGGGAATCCTGAGAGAACCAGAATAGCTAAAATAGTTGAACAAAGCTCAAGGACTACACTTCAAATTTTAAAGCTTATTTACAGTAACCAAAACAGTGTGGTACTGGCATAAAGACATATAAACCAATGAAATAACCCAGAAATAAAACCTCACATATATGGTCAATGATTTTCCACAAAGGAGCCATGACCATTTAGTATGACAGTCTTTTCAACAAACGGTACTGGGAAAACTGGGTTATCTATGTGCAAGAGAATGAAGTTGGACTCTTGCCTTATACAAGATACAGTTAACTCAAAATGGATCATAAATCTAAATGTAAGAGTCAAAACTACCAAAGTCTTAGGAAAAAGTGAGGAAGCTTCATGTCTTGAATTTGGGAACAATTGCTGGTATGTGATACCAAAAGTACAAGCAATACCAAAAATAAGTTTTAGTACATCAAAATTAAAAATATACATTAAAGGACACTATGAAGAAAAAAAATTGCACAGAAGGGGAGAAAATGTTTGCAAATATCCAGTAAGTCATGAATTTTCAGAACCTAGAGCTACAACCTGACAACAACAAAACCCAAATTTTAAAATGGGCAATGAACTTGAGATTTATCCAAAGATAACAAATGGATAAAGCTAGGAAGCACATGAAAAGACACTCCATATCACTAAACATTAGGGAACTGCATATCAAAACCACAATAAACACTTAACATTTTTTGTTGAGAAAGAGGAATGCTTGCATATAACTAGTACAAATAGCATAGCCACTGTGCTAGACAGTATGGAGGGTCCTCAAAAATTTAAATGCAGAATTACATATAATCTAGTAATTCCATCTCAGTGTACAGCCACAAGAATTGAAAGCAGAGTTGGATAGATATTTGTACACCAATGTTCATAGCGGTATTACTCATCCTTTAAAAGGAAGGATTGGGGTGAGGGATTTAGCTCAGCGGTTTGGTGGCCTGCCTTGCAAGCACAAAGACCCGAGTTCAATCCCCGGTCCCCCCCCCACAAAAGGAAGGGTTGACCCATCTATTCCCCTGCCAGGTATCTTCCCAGAAGAGTTAATGACATCTTTTACAGTCATTATGTGTAGTTATTATGTGTAGTATGACTACACATATGCCATAGTTACAACCATACAATTTATAATAGCTAAATCTTGAAAGCCTACATGTTGATCAACAGATGAATGGATAAATAGGTAGTTTTACACATGGAGTAGTACTCTGCCATAAAGAAGGGTAAATAAGTCATTTGTAGGAAAATGGATGAAATAAATCAGACACAAGCTTAAGTATCACGTAGTTTTTCATGAGAGACCCAAAATATCAATAAAGAGCATAATAAAAGATAATAGAAGCAGGGAGCTAGATCTTCCTCAAATGGGAGAGGGATCAAGAAGTAGGA